TGTTGGCTTAATATATTTTATTGCTAAAAATAGAATATGTATTGCATCTTAAAGAAATCATGCCATGGTACAATATATATGTATATCTTCTATACTTCTGTTTGATATAATCTTTTTATACAAGAAAAAGTTAAGATATTTCAACATCGGTCAATGCTCTTAAGTACTTAAGATCAAAATAAATAAGCTTATTTTGGGGGTGAACTCTGAAGTATATAGCCAAAAGAATGGTAGTTAAGAGATTTAAGGGATGGAAATCGGTCTGTTTTGATAGCTGTTATTACAGGACATGAATTGATAACAAAAACCGCGCATGTATAATATTTACCTACACGAGCTTTCAAGGATTAAATACATATACATTTGGACGCACAAATAGCTTACTCTCTTTCCTATATCTACAAATATAACTCCCCTGTACATTTGCGTTGCATTGTATTCACGGAAATGTCCGGTGTATTGATTTTTACACGTACGAATTCACACATATATCTACAGGATTAATAGTATTCCAAGAAAACAAATGACTAAATATCTTCTCTGTTAGAAATTTTTTCGTAGAAAATTGCTTGTAAATTATCAGATTTTTTTTATACAATTAATTTTTTACTTTTACTAGCAGCAAAAGGTAAAACATAAATAAAATAAAATAAAACGTTTTCTATGTTTTATTATAAACGTTTATAATAATGAAATGTAATAACAAATTTACATTATTTATATTATTTTATGTAAAAAGAAACAATATATTCGAATAAATTAAAAAATACTTAATCCAAATATATTTTTTATTAGTGATACAATCATGACACTGTTTCTGGTTTTAGCATGCATGAGTTTTACATAACAGTTGATATTTAATTAAATGTAGGAAAAGTACATATTTCAATAATTAATAGTACGTTAAAATATTAAAATTGTTTTGTAAATTTTGACTATTAGGTGTAGAAAATAAATAATTATTTCATTATTTTTTAAATACACAACATTTGATTGATAATTCACAAAAAAGTATTCTAACAGTACTGAAATTGTCAGAACAAAAGTAAAACGTTTTTATCATTTTAGCACTTACATTAGTTGATTAAATAAATAAAAACCAATGTGTTTTTAATTTGATTGATAATATAATAATTAATAAAATATGTATATTTTTACAGTTATAAATATTTCGCTGATCATTTTATTATATAAAAACAATTAATTTGATCAATTCGATAATATCGAAGTCTTTACGGACTCTCTGCACACATTCTGCTAATCATTTTGTTATAGAAAAGTACTTCATCGTCCAGAAAAAAACTTGAAGAATGAACCTAGGTCAACACAGAGAGATATGTTCTTGATAAGAACTTGTGCACGCAATCAGACGGGTAACAAGAAAAAGACAGCCTAGATCGTTAGCGAGCTGTTTTCTAGGCGAGGTGATAATGCGGACTCTTTCATTGGATGCAAGTTGGCTGAGTGTTACCTCGCTCTCGTCCTACCTGTGATTCTACGTGCGAATTTATCGACATGAGAAATCGATGTCGATGGACGTAAGGACGTTGCTAGGGAGCGTGTCTACGCAAAGGCACTTTATGGACTATCTTCGACGCCTCCCTACAAAATTGAAGCACGCGAATGTCGCAATATGTCGCAAATTGTCATAAATGACAAAATACGCCGCATGAATTCTTGGAAATGATCACAGAGTGAATTTGTAACGTGAATAATGTTTACATTTCGTTTATTCTATACGAAGTAGAGTGTAGACTATAAACTGTTAAGATTTTATGGAAATGAAAGAAATAGAAAGACACATTCTTTTCTTTTTATTCTAATATTGTACTAACTACATACATTAAAAAAATACATTAGATTAATTACTAAATATCTTAAGGATGTACAGTTTCTCCAAAAAGCGATTGTAATTCAAAATTTATACTCTCTATATAAACATGAATTTCATATACATATAAAATAGTTCAATAAGATCACTATTTAAAAACAGAATTTTATAGTTTAAATAAAAATCTTTTCATTTTATCTTAACTATATATTAAAAAATATTTATTTCTTATTAAAATAATTTTTATCTAGATTTGAAATCACTGATAAAGTTTTTGTATTATTTTCAAATACAGTATAGGAAAATCTGTATTTTGTTCCAAATCTTCCATTTTGTTAAAAAATAATTATAATATTTTTAAAAATAAGACAAGTACAAATATATTAGCTGTTATATGTGGAAATTTGAAATATGTGCAAATTTGTTAACAAATATATTTCGTACAGATACAAAGATTCAACTTGAAATACAAGACCGAATGCACAAAATTATTATAATTCATTGTGCTTGTCCGAACATCAGTGAGTTTAATTATAACAAGATATTCTTCAAAGATACCTTAGCTCAAGGATAAACGTGTCGGTTGATGCCGACAATGCGCAATTGTTCGCAACAATTGGGACGTCACTCACGATGATAAAAAAGTCCACCCACGGGAACGGAGAATCGCCGTCGCAACGAACTGGAATTATTACCGGCGCACTTCGCGTACTATTTTCCATGAAACTTCACGAGCACTGCGGTTTGCTGAAGGTTGCACGATACGCTAATCGATAATGACTTTCGTCATAAAACGAGTAAAAAATTGTTGCTGATGTGATCGACAGATAACTGACCATTTCGTGCACACCGACACACTGTAGCGATGCAGCCGCGTTTTGAGCAATCCGTATCGTGGTAACACATCAGTTATTTTTTCATGTATTTATTTTTGTTACTTCACATGACCGAACCGGTCACTTTTACGTCAACTGCAGACGTCAACTCTTTTACGATGTGAATAAAAAGGTTAAATCACTCTTTCCACTAAAGTGATTGCATTAAAGTATAACAGGCGTTCGCTAGAAATGTTTGGCCTGTATTTATTATTAAAAAAACATCCAATAATATACTATGGAAAGAGTTTTTTCATGCTTCTAAAAAGTTTTGTCTTTTACTATACATACACGTGTGTGTATACGTATTCCTTTTGTAGCAACAAATTTAATTAAAGTAACTTATAAAACAATTTTAAAAGTGTTATTTATCAAATTAAAAAAATTTCGAAACTTTAAGTTTGTAATGCTTGTCGAGAAAAATTTGGCTTCTGTGGTGAAAACTAATGTAGTGTGCAGATGATACAATACATAAAGACAAAGGCACAAAGTGGATAAACAACGCAGATTTTTGCATTGTATTATTAATAGTTCTATAGTATTTTTAAGTCAGCGGCCATCTACGTCAGTTGACTATCGGACTGAAATATTTTTAGTTTGATCGATAGCTTCTACGAGCGGAGAAGGCGAGTCTTGTAGGGGCCGTGCAATTTGCATAGGTCGTAATCGCGCACGATAGTCCCATTAACATAAATGTTGAATTCATAATCGAATGAAAAACCAGCGCCGACTGAAATCACGAGCAAATATTTTCGATTATGATTCATTTCTTAGAGAAAAAGAGATATGATTCTTTTGTTGGAAGCAATAAAACTCACGATAGCGAAATTGTAAGTAAAAAGTATAATAAAAAAAAGAAAAATTTTTGCTAAAAAAAAACTTATAATTAGTATAATAGTTTACGTAATTTGGAAAATACATTCAAAAATCCTTTCGAGAAAGAAACGAATTTTAGAGAGAGTTAATTTTTTATTTAAATATAAAAATAGCGAGCAATTTTCTAAAAAAAAAATTAAATAAAAATCGTTTTAGAAAAAGTAGATTACGTTACAAAACCTCATTTTCCAAGGAAAAACATTTTATTTAGCACGACGGTGTACAATTTAAAAATAAAAAACAAAGAGAGTTCAAAATATCTGTTCTAAACCTTTGCATCTTTTTCCTCCATTAAAATAATTTTTAGGAAAAAGTGTATTATAATTTAGCATGTCAAAAAAAAAATCGTATGACTCACAATCATGTAATAAGAAAATATACAATCAAAATGCTACATTGCAATTCACTATCCTCTCTTATTGCGATGCAAATTTAAGTCGACTCCCGCTACAGCTTATCCAAATGGAAACTCTTAGCTCTGTCTCGTGAAAAGTTCGCCTAATTCCCTTTCTAACATATTGCATGCCCTAGATGACTCTTATTACGAGTATTCCCGTGGGACTGTTCATATCCCGGAGAATTCAGTACGAGCGAGGCTCTCTCCTCCGTGACGCGTGTGGGGGGGACTATCACACCCCACTTATAATAATAGTCTCTTCAGGGAGACAAAACCTTTTAATGCGTTAAAGACAAATATTCTTTAATTAGATCACAGTTGCATTTCGGAATATTTCAATAACAGTGACCAAGTTAAATAAAATAGCAATTTGTTTAAAAAAAAGCAACTACTCATATTTCGTTACAAGCTAATACAGTATTAGTTATTGAGCTTTATATAGGTTTTTTTTTAGATATTTATATGTATATTCATTGTTCGACGACCAACTGCATCGATTTTGTAACTTGCATATATCGATGTTAATCATAGCAGTTCAATCAGCAAGAGTTAATTACCTTGTGCTGTCGGTGTCTTAATTATCCAATTACAACGATAGCGAAATAACCGCGGGAGTAATATATTAATTAACGTTGAACCAGTGCCCGCAATAATTATATTATCGGCGAGTATATTTTGAAGCACGTTAACTACCTAGCATATGAACATGTTTATTACTAAGCAAGTATCAGAGATGTGTTTGGGAGTATTACATTACCATTTAGGTGATTTTTAAAACATTTATACTAGTGCGTTCATATTTTTCTTTCCTTCTTCTTCTTTCCATTAAAAATTATTCATAAATAAAACGTTTAACTCGTTAAATGAAAATGTCCAAGAATAAAATATTTCTCCAATACAATGTTTGCATTTAAATACGTAATACGTATTTAAATGCAAATGTTCGTTCATTTGTAATTAAAATAATTTTCAAAAGCCAAAGATTTCTGCCAATAATGTTTTGTAAATATGGCAAACTCACCTGCCAGCCTTGTAGCAGGAGATTTCTGTCAACAGTTCTGAGCCACATGACAGCGTCGCCGGCTTGGAAGTCCCTTAAACGGGTGCATTTCTTGTGCAGGAAGACGCCGAGGCACTTGAGCAATTCCGAAGTGGAGGCCTGGATAACAGTTTTTCTTGGTCCAGGGGGCAGGGGTTTCTGCACCAATTTCTCACACGTCGGATTGTGCGTGGTGTGATTGTTATTTGACGCCGGTGGTTTTGTCTAATTAAAACCACAAAAAGATGAACTCTTAATAAATAATTTTCACAATATATAATCAACATAATAACACACATTCTTATAAATCTTATATTTTTAACAATATTTCACATTAAATATATATTATTTGAACACATAATTTATTGAATATTGTAACTTTTTATAATAATTGCATATAAATTTAACCAATATAATGTGATAATTTTTTGCTAGTTTCATTTAGCATTTCTTACAAAAAAAAGACGATACTAACAATAAGTTAATAAAGGAAATAAAATAGATTATAATAAAATGTTTATACATTTTACATTTTGCTGATATTAAACGAAAAATTTATAAATTGTAAAAATCAATGGTATAACATTAAAAATAAACCGAAAGTTTAAAGCAGCGTCATATCTTTAAACAGAAAGATCAAAAATTTATAAAGAAACTCGTGCTATACGAAAGAAGACATCAAAACGATCGATATGCTTTCGATCGTGTCTGGGGGGTCAAAGCACGTTGTATATTTCATTCCTTACACTGCAAATCTCCCCTTCGTTAGAGGTCTCTAGACTTCTCTAGACACAACAAGCAGTGAAATATAGGTACTAATTATATATTTTTCTTGTTATTCTATTTTTTATATATAATATTAATAAATAAATCTTAAATTATTATCTAAAAATTATTGCGTTATTACATTATATAATATAATAAATAATGTACGATGTATTGTTGCGTAATTTCATAGAACTCTTCAGTAAAAAAATTGTATTTATAATAAATATATACAATAGTTTTTAATTTAAATAAGCAATTTTTATTTTAAACGTGTGCAATTAAGTTTAATTTAAATTAAGAAATTAATTTAGAAATGAACTTTTTTTTTATGTAAAATAGTATAATATATTAGTATTTGTAATCATTTAATACTATCGATATAAGCAAAAAATCAACACATATTTCTAAACAAACTTTTGCTGTATAGCTTTGATATTATTTGATCGAATTTGCATCGTATTTTAATACAAAATTAGTATGCAATTTGTTAAAGTATGCTTTAACATTATACATTTGGATTAATTCAGATCCACATGATAGCACGATTGTCACTTGCGAATTTTTTTGCTCAGGATGGCTCAAACGTGAATTGAAATGTACAGGTTTCTTAATCATTGTTTCTTTTGACACATCGATTCTTTGCGTTATTATATTTGTGACTACTCCAAATTCCCTATTATTTGTGTTTAATGAAATATGCTTGTTTTTTAATGATTTATTTTATATGATTTTTGTATATAAACTTTATCTATTAAATGTGCTAATTTATCAATTTTCGAAATAGAATTACAAGAAGTATCTATCGAAGAGAAGGACGAAGAGAAGGACGAAGAGAAAGAATAAACGTTTTCCGCTCTATGAGTACTCACCTGCGGCGTCTGTATATTTTTGTTCTTATCAACGATAGGTATATTATCGAGCGGCTGCCTGAAGGCGAGGTTCTTGTTCTTGTTATCAAGCTTCTTTTTGTTATTGTTGGTTGTACTGAATCGCTTCCACGACAAAGCATTTATAAATAGTGAATGCTTCTTCAAGTTCTTCTCTAGGGCGTTTTTCTCTGAGATAATTCTCGCGTTGTCGTTGTTGTTTAGATTAATGTTATTGTTCTGTAACGAGTTATTGTTGGTCGGTGGATGATTCGTAGGTGGCGCCGGCGCCACCGTGGCAACGCTGCTCTTGTTCTCGCGATTCTTTGCATTGTTCAGCTGCTCGTAATTAAAATTATTTAACGTGAAGTCAGCAGGATGTTGATGTCCCGTTGGCGGATAAACCGACCCCCGACGATCTCGTGGACTAAACGACAGCACGGTCCCCATGGTGGTGCTGACGCTACGTTCCAGATGTTGCGGTTGTGGTTGAGGTTGTTGCTGTTGCGGTTGAGGTTGTTGCTGTTGCGGCTGACTTGGCTGTGCTTGCTCCCTGCCGCTCTGTGTCGGATGGGTTGGATTCTGACTTGGCTGGCGACTCACGTTTGGATGAGAAGCTTCTCGTCCTGGGCTCGTCGGATGGCCGGGATTTTGTGTCGGCTGGCCAGCGGGATTCTGGTCTTGGTCAGCGGGACTCGGGTGGCCCGGGTTACCCGGATTGTGGCCGGGATTACCGGGGTTATGACCCGGGTTGTGGCCGGGATTACCCGGGTTGTGGCCCGGGTTGTGGCCGGGATTACCCGGGTTGTGGCCCGGGTTGTGGCCCGGATTGTCCGGGTTATGGCCCGGATTACCCGGGTTGTGACCGGAATCGGCCGGATTGTGGCCGGGATTACCTGGATTATGAGTTTGGTGACCGGGGTTGTGGCCGGGATTACCCGGATTGTTGGGCGAATGATCCGGGTTGTGATGCCCGGGATTTTGGGACTGGTGCCCCGGATTGTGGGTCGGGTGACCCGGATTATCGTGATGTTGAGACGTAGCGGGCGGCGGTCTCGGCGGACTCGGTGTAACACGCTGCGGCGGGGGTGCTCGAGGAACCGAGGTCTCCCTCGAGGGTCCCGTCAGCGGGGTCGCATCCCCTGGCTCAATGGCCTCCTCCACGACGGGACCCACCACCTCACTCAACCGACCTCCCAGCCTGCTGATTTCTACCTTCGACTTGAAGGACACTACTTTTTCTTCCTCCCGCGACGTTGAGTCGCTTCGATTTACTTCCTGTTTCTCTGCCAAAGTGTTTCTTTTCTTATTACACTATGCAAAATTTTGCGTAATCTCCTGGACGGGAGAGCGTCACAGATAATACAACGGTCGTTTACGATGATCGATCGAAAGAAGGAGAGAGGACGAAACTTATTCAAGAAATATATACACGAATAATCTAACCCTTTCACTTAATGTAGGTCTGCAGTCTCTGTAGCTTCCGTATCGTAAAAGATGTCACGCGGCAAGATGTCGTCGATGCGCGCAAAAGATGTCGGCCGTCGCGCAAAATGGCGAGCGATCGATGCTTTACCGCCCTCCGCCTCTCGGAAGGTGGATGGGTCAAGTGAACGAAAACACTGGATCGACACACCGAAACACTCTATTCGATACTTTGACTCTTGTCCTTTGCGTGTCGTCTGCTCGCTTGTATAAACAGCTAAATGCCGACGTTTTCTCAACCTATACTTTTGGAGCACTGTCAACGCACATTTAAAGCACCTTTTCGAACGCAATTCACGATTCGAAAGTACCGCTCTTCCTTGAAATTCGGTACTTTACTCGTTAATCTTTGACTATTGATAAATCACAAACAATCGATAATTCTCCTTCTGCTTCTCCTTGACGCCAACCACTTCCCGATTTATTTCGTATGCTTCTTCGAATTTGAATTCAGCGCAACGTTTTGCTGCGACTTTCGAACGATATCTCGAAGCTGTACTCGTACAATCTCCCCCGAGTGGACTCGCGATGGCTTTCGCGGCGAACTTTGCGAACGATGCAAACAACAACACAACGCGCACACGCTTCTTCAGGAACGTTGCGAGAACGACTGATTACTCCGTCGGCAGGCGAACTATTTCTCGCGTGGCGAGTTTCGTTGGTAGTCTGCTACGCTCGTCCTCGGCGACGTCGACGTCGCCGCCGTCGTCCTCGTCGTCGTCGGTCGGCCGTGCGTCCACCACCTACGTCTACGGCCAACCAAGACGTAGCACGCCCCGTTACTGTTATCGGTGCGCGCGCAATGGTTCGATAAACGCGGAACGTCGATGGTCGGGGGTGGAAACGAACGGAGAATGCCCGCAAAAGAGAAAGAGAGGGTGAATCAGCGAGAGCGAGATGGAGCATGGAAGGGTGCGCTAAGAGCGGTTGAGGGCGAGATGGAAAAGAGCGTCGGAGACGTAGAAAGAGCGAAAGGGACGGAAGGACGCGAGACGGATGGAGCATAAGGGAGGGTGGCGGTCGTGATCGAGAAGGGGGAGAAGGAAGGGTAGTTCGCGTGTATCATGGCACGACTGTGTGTATACGCCCGAACTTTTCTCCGACATAACTCACCTTGGGGAAGCCCGCAGGGGAGACCAAGTCGCGACCGCTGTCTTGAGTAGACCGCGGAAATGCTGGCACTGCGCTACTATTGTTAGATACTTTTCACGAGGGTCTCACGACCGACGTAAACGTAGGTCGAGATTTTCTACAGAGAAAGAGAGAGAGAGAGAGAGCACGCAAGAAAATGAATGAAAGCGGAACGCGCGTAGTGCACGGTGTAAATAAGCACGGCCCCCGGACCACGAGTAAATATTAGAACTCGCTGAAGCTCGAGTGTGCACAGAACGAAATGAATATCCTTTCCGTAAAGCCGCATGAGGATAAACAGTAATAGAGCATTCGGAAGTGAGAGGGATCGCCAAGACGATGCTTCGTACTAAGAAAATTTCGATTGGACTGCAGTCTTGTAAAGATTTTCTCAGGATTGGGAAGTAACTCGTTACTTGTAACGAGGTTACAATTAGAATTACTATTTTTCATTAACTTTCTTCTCATCTATAACTATAACTAACTGATAATTAGTTATATTCTTTAGTAACTAATAACTAATTTAATAGTTATTTTATATATTTCAAATTTATTTATCAATTTAGGATGCGGTCCACTTGACGCTACAAATGCTTTGAAGCATTTGATTGATCAATCAAAAGAAAAAAAGGAGGGTACCTAAAAATAGCTAAAACTCCCAGCAGAGCCTAAAAAATGAATTTCATAGTGTTTTTTGGTATATATGGAAGAGAGAAAAATAACATTTATGATACTGAGAAGTACTTTAAAGATAAATTGTTAATAGCAATAAAATATTGTATTGTATACTACATACATATTTTGCATGACATTATTTGTTTCAGTTTTCTTTATTTTTCTACAATTAGACCGGTGTATATTTTAATAACAATATTTAAATTTTAACCATCAGTTGGACACTTTAGATAATGCTAATGTCGGTGATAGCTGTAACTTTCAAGCCTTCTAATTTGAAAAGTGCCTAATATTTTTTATCAACATAGTAACATTAATAGTAATTTACATTACTATGTTAAGTTGACCTCTCGACATAATATTTAATGGTTTTCAAATCAGAACAAAAATACAATATATTTTGAAATATTAAAGTTAGGTAAAATTATGAAATTTTATTTAGAAATTGTGGGAGGTATTTTTTGTATAGATATCCATGCCACAAAATATCTTAACAAAACTATACACATAACTGTACTATTTACATATTTAAAAAAATTGAAACAAATGTTATCTTCTATCTTTGTTTAGTTAGAAGGAATTTGTGGATTATCTATTAGATAATCAGCGACTATCAATATTTGAATTTCAATTGAGAAAAATTGAATAAAGAATAACCCAGATAACATCATGTAAAAAATCGAGATAAAATGTTTTAAAAACATCATTATGACATCTTTAGGACATCTTGTCTCTAAGATGGTTTATGTTCCGATTTTGGATATGCGTACTGTTTACAAAGTGATAAATCTATTTATCTCTAGATATTGTAATTAATTTTAATTATTTGTTTCTTTTATAATAATAATATAATATAAAAAAGAGTGGCTTGTAAGAAATATAATTTTTAGATAGAGATGTTAAAATATGAAATTGATCAACGTTTAAATATATCTTACACAAACCGTGAGAGAAGCGCAAGATAAAAGCCGCATTATCAACTGCATGGAATTCGATAAAATGCAGTAAATTTCCTGTAATAAGTCAATAATAATACACGCAGACAATACTTGTCAGTTTTATTTTTCAAGCACATAATTAAATTTGCACTTGTGCTCCGTGTAGGTATACATTTGAATTAAAAGCAAGATAATTGAAAAATTAAAAATAAAATTTAATATAAAAATGCTTCGAGGTCACTTCAGCGGTTTTGTGTAAAAATATGTAAATACCAGTATAAAATCTGTCCTCGATAAACTATTTATAATGTATTGGAATACATAACGTACGCGAGAAAGTTTGTCCGTTACCGATGTATTGTTTAAAAGTGCAAGTTTTATTCATATCATTAGATGTATTTTATTACATCATTTTAGAAATAGAAAATAATCTTTCAAGTTGAACAATTTTTCTCTGTATAAATATATTTTAGTAATATATTTTAGAGATATTCACTTACAACTCGCGGATCATCCATTTTATGCTGTATTCAACAGATCGCTATAAATTTTATCGCGTCTGACAGTTTAGATAAGTGAAGACCGAATAATGCATCCTCATACAGTTAGGGCAATGCAGGTCGCGCCCCGGGGGGTGGAAATTTCACGTAACCTGCTTTTTCTTGGGAGCTGGAACAAGGTCAGCACAGCGCAGCTCCGAAGGGCGATGAAATGGGTGGGCAAAGCGGGTGGGCAGGTGGAAACGCGCACGTGTGCATAGGCTTGAGGACACCACTAGTGAACACACAACTCGGACGTGTTGTACGCGTCGACAGGCGACTTTGCCGCGCAGCGAGGCAGCGTGTAATAATATCGCATTGTGTGTCGCGCTCGTGGATATCCGACATCGAGACTGTTGAGGAAGGTCGCATCCTCTGTCGTTTCCCGTTTGCCGCGTGGATAAGCATAAATCGGAAATTAATTCTTTTCTTTCTACATCACGAGTTAGCATTGAAACGAGTTTTCTTTTTTTAACCCTTTTCAATTTATATGAACAATTTTATTGTATGTGTATTTCCGAGATATATTTTATTTCGTTAAATAATATTTTGTAAACTTAATTTCTTATAAAATCTGTAATATATATCAATAAATCAATGCTTGACGACGCGATTAGTCGTTGCTATTAGTATTAACATACAAAAGCGACCGATAAAAACACTAATCAACAGAAGGACCGTTAGTGTTTTGTCTTCGCGTACTTTCGAAGTTTCGACCTCGAAAGTATACAAGTACGCATTCTAGCGATATCATTTAAAAATCTAAGTAAAAAACAATGGATTAAACGCTCTGAAAGCGCTTCGCCGAAATAAAATCTACCAAAATCTTGAACAAAATCAATAATTCTTTCTCTTTATTTTTGTTTCAAAAATATTGTACTTACGTGGTATACTTAAATATTAAAAATTAATTGTTAGTTATTTTAGTGTTAATTAGATATCTTCGAAATACAATTTAATAAAATTTCGCAAGTATAATAGTCAAAATGGCAGTTATGCAGAAATTAAATTGACGTTTTAATTCTTACAGAAACGTGTGTGCTTTCTCAATTTAGTGGCGATCAATAGCGAGGATTCATTATAAAGGTCCATTTCTCTATCTCTGACCGCTGAAGAAGATGGCGTAATTGGATGTTGATTTATTAAAAGATGAATTTTTGGACGTATGAGGGGATTGCAAGCTGCGAGAGTATATCGATTTGTTATTAGATTTAAAAGTGTCCGAGACGTAAAAATTGCGATACAGAATTATTCAGAAATAGAATGATTATTATTAATAAAAGTATTCAGACTTAATCGAGTGTCATGTTTTCTATGATGTATCTGTACCTAGTTTTGCATTTAGTCGTATTTGTATAAAAATATGTTCAATATTTAACTGGTAATTGAATTTTTTTTATGTCTCCGCAGCTTGAATAATAAAAAAGTTATTTAAAGATTCATATCATACACTCGCATACTTTATCGAATTTAAACATCTTTGGAAATGTAATTCAGTTCGCATGTATTTAATTAATTTGCACCGTGTAAACATAGCTCGGGTACTGGAATATTACGATATCTGTCATGGATATTGAAATACGCGAAATGTTTCGTATATTAAATTCCAAGAATCAGAAATCAGCATTGTACACGTTAAGAATTTTGCGGGCTGCATATAAAACTGCATTAACCTGAAACATAGAAAAGGTATGAACAGCACAGAAAGAGATAAAAAAGTACCTTCTTCTTTCAGAAAAATAGATTTCTTTAGGAAAAAGAGATCGCCGGGATCTCTCGGCTTTAAGGGATTTCCCAAGTCACATGACCCGAAATGGGGATCCTCGGCGATATTCCATTCCTGAACTGTCGGAACGATGATTTCAGGTTGCATATATCCCATTAACATCAAAGCAGGATTTTGGATTTAATATGCGATGTTGATCCTAACATATGTAAAACAGTGATTCCGATTAAATAGAAGAAGAATTTATCTTCTATAGAATAAGTTAATTTTAAATAGAACAAAAAATAAAAATCATACATCATAAAGAATATAGTAAAAAAAATAATTTTACTACAATATTTTTATATAAATTATATAAATAGAATTTGATTAATTAATCAAAAATTAAATTGTGTTTCTTTTCAAAGTTGTCGAAATACACTTTCTCGAGAATTGTTTCAGTTTTATATTACACAGTAGTAAAATTTGCATATAATCAGACACGCTACAATCGATTGAACAAGCAAAACGTACATTAGCTCGCACTTTCTGGAAAAATATATGCATTTCCAATCAACCAATATTAGGTATATACGTAACATATTAAGTTTCATTACTTCAAATAGTTTAAATACAAAAAATTCATACTGATATGGTGGAACAAAAACAAAATTTCATTTATAAAACGTGTGTCAAATCGCTTCAACGCGTTTCAGTATCATGAAAGACTCTTCGAAAAGGATTTGTAAATCTCTTCGTATCTTATTGATGATATTCATAAGGAATATCTAAATATTCAATGTGTGTCAGCAACAGAATTTGTTTTTCGGTTACGGATTTTATAAAAATCTTTTAGAACATGATATGGCTGAGTAGACAAAACTAAAAACACTCAATAGAGTTTCAAATGACCTACTTGTATTTACCTTACTCCTTGCAATTTTTTTTAATAATTAATCGACCGTGCGGCGGCGATCTTGTTACCCCTCCTTCGTCGAGGTGTCCAGACGCACTGTGAAAAAGGTACGTAACGTGTAAAATCGGCGGCGGGCGTCGCTCTGGAGCGGATAATGGAGCGTGACGAACCTCTGATTGCCGTTCTGAAGAGAGAACGCTCGCCATTGGATGCTGATAAAAAAGCAGCAGGTATCAACCGGCAGCGGCGGCCGTTACAAAAGCAATCTAAAAATATAATGTTCACTCGCGTCGCGTTGGCGTAAAATAGCGGCTCGTTCACGCGGTGTGTCCATCGATGTGACCCCGATATGTAGTCGCGATGTTCGTCGACTCTGAAAAAAAGAGCACATCGCCTTTTGTTGTCTACGATAAAGTGGCAATAAGCAACGTGAGACATTCGACGAGAGTAAGATACTATTCTGAAAAACTGAGTGTGTGTGATAAATACGCAACATGTAAGAACGTTTCAATATCGTCGAAATGTGAAGTAAAATAAATATAGAGAATACATAAAATATGTATATTTCTTTTTATTATTTTATTGCACACATTTATTATCACTACATAAATTATAAATCTTGTACAAATTAAAATTATTTAATAAATGTAAATTGAATTTTGAATTTTCAATAATTTTATCTCTGTAAAATATAAATCTCTGTCTTTTATTCTTCAAAATTATTGCAATGTGGTCTTTTAATCTTTCGAGAATATTGTAAATCATATATATACAGCTGGTATAAAATTTATTATCTCAATTATTTTTTATTTTCTGAGCTTGAAAAAAGCTATATAGGTTCTTCTTATAAGACATTAACAAGATGGAGATCTTTGCAGGTATGAATAATGAACAAAGTATTATGTTTGCGTAGTATTACGATAGTGAGAAGTATAAGTGGGTGGTGAAACACTCAGAGCGTGAAGTGTTTCCTTTTGAATTATCAGCCCTAGAGAGTCAACTGAGCTGTGAAAGATAATGGAAGTTCTGCCTGTTTTAGATATTCGTTTGCGAAGCATTTTTGTCTTCGATACTAAATTCGCGCGACACATGCAATTTTCTCAGCAAATCTTCTTGCAAAAATATTCTTACAAAGAAGTTCTTTCTCATTAAAACAGAAAAGAGAAACAATATAAAGAGATATAAGAAACATTAAAAAAAAATCTTTTCCTTGATCATCTTTCTAGAAAAAAATAAATATTATCTTTAGGTTAACATAATTAATAAATGTTGTAAATTGTTTATATAATAATAATATAATACACACACATAGAGTAAAGTAATCAATTATTACTTTAATTTAGTAATTATTATATATTATAAACAGATGCTTTCATGGACATTTAAAGTTGACAAAGCGACATTACATCTGACAAGTGATGACGTGGATAGAGGCTACAGACGGTATACGAAGGACATCATCCCCTTTAGAAGGGTTGCAGACAGACAAACCCTCCAGGTTCCCTTTTCCCCCACCTATTCGTCGCCCCATCGCCATAGCAACCCCTTGCATTCAGCAGCTAGGTTAACCAACCGATCTACCCCTCGATCGTGCCGTCTTGCTTCTCGTCGCTGGAATATCTTTGCGCGGAACACAGCTTCCACTCTTTTCCACGCATTTTAATTCTGGTCGTAGCCCAAGCCTTAAGAATTCAATAGTAAATTGGTGTGAAAGTTCCATCAAATGTTCTACAATAAGGTCAAAATACTTTTTCTTTAACGTTTCTAGAAAATTGTCTATAATCGCTTGACAAACTGTTGTCGATCGGTATTCAAGCCTTTTAAAATTTTCAAGTAGAAATTGTAGAAGACTGTTAATGTTCAGTGAAAATACCTCGAGATATTTCATTAATGTTATGGACGCAACAGTCGAGTCAAACGATTTAAATGAATTCACAAGCAAATATAAACAACTTTAATAAATTCTATAATAATAAGGTTTTAAAAAACGATTTTATTCAATAATATGTTTGTTGATATCTTTCAAAAGTATATACATATATTGCGTACAATAAAAGATTAATTTTTACTTGTGTAATTAAACATTTCGTTGTATTTCCTGCTGAAGATAGTAAAAAGTTCTTGTTTTCAAAAAGTTTTTACCGTTTTTGTAAATGTCTCAAGACATTAAAATCCGCATACAATTGAGCTATTTCTTCGACAGAAAAGAAAGCACAATTTCTAGAAAAAAAAACTTCCCCGCACAATGGAATAAATTGTAGTATTAACTCATTGTAGTAGTCGCGGTTCGTAAACTCGTCAGACAGTTCAACGGGCCGAATGATCACCTCAGTTGTTTCCGAAATTATTCGTACTTTT